TGGTTATAAGGATGCCCAGTGAACTTTGTGAGAACCTCAACAGCATAAAAAAGATCCAGTCAGAAACGAAAGACACACTAATTGAAATAAATAACAATTTGCAGGGAAACAACAGTAGAGTGGATAAAGCCGAGAATCAAATTAGTGATCTGGAATATAAGGAAGCAAAAAGCAACCAATCAGAACAGCAAGAAGAAAAAAGAATACAAAAAAAATGAGGATTGTGTAAGGAGCCTCTGGGACAACTTCAAGCACACAAACATTTGCATCATGGGGGTGCTGGCAGGAGAAGAGAGACAGCAAGAAATGGGAAACCTATAGGATCCGGCAGAATAAAAGGTCTGCTTGAGTGTGGTTGGTAGGGTAATAATATGGGTGTAATAATTTATAGTTTTAATTTGAATATTCCATCTAAAATGTCATACAGTGTGCTTGGGTGTAATATTGTTATGTTTCAGGATTACATGCTTATGATTTTATAACAAAAGGTTTTATAATAAAAAAAGGGGCATTATTTGTGCTGGGCCCTGTATTTGAAAAAATAATGACAGAAAATTTCCCTAACTTGGTGAAGGAAATAGACATACAAGTCCAGGAAGTGTAAAGAGTCCCAAGCAAGATTAACCCAAAGAGGCCCACACCAAGACACATCATAGTTAAAACGCAAAGGTTAAAGATAATCTTTAAAAGCACAAAGAGAAAAGCAGTTGGTTTTCTACAAGGGAGTTCCCATAAGACTGACAGCTGATTTCTCAAAAGAAACTTTGCAGGCTAAAAGGGACTGGCAACAAATATTCAAAGTGATGAAAAACAAGGACCTACAACCAAAATTACTCTTCTCAGCAAAACTATCGTTTAGAATCAAAGGACAAATGAAGAACTTCCCAAAAAGAACAAGCTAAAGGAGTTCATTCTCACCAAACCAGTATCATATGAAATGAGAATAGGTCTTTAAGAAGATCAAAAATATGAACAATAAAATGGCAATAAATACGTATTTATCAACAACTAAAACCTAAACAACAAAATAAACAAGCAGAACTGAAACAGGAGCACAGATACAGAGAACATTTTGATGGTTGCCAGATGAACGGGGGATCAGGTGGACGGGTGAAAAAGGTGAAGGGATTAAGAAATACCAATTGGTAGTTACAGAATAGCCATGGGGATGTAAAGTACAGCATAGGAAATAGAGTAGCCAACAAACATACATGCATGACCCATGGATAGGAACAAAGGTGAGGGGATTGCCTGAGGGAATGGGGTGCTGGGTGGCAGGGGGCCACGGGAGGAATTAGGACAACTGTTATAGTGCTAACAATAAAATATAATTTCTTAAAAATTTAAGGAACACAGAACATCGGTGCAGTGTCATAGGAATTGGGATGTGGCCGTGATGAATACTCTTGCTAAATTTGTATAGAAAACTATTTGACTGTGAGTAAAATGAGAAATCACTATATTTCCATGGAAATGAATTCAAGAGTCATTGTTACACAAACAGTGAAAATATTGAAGGCGGCTCATTTATGTCAAGAAATTCTTACAAGAATAAAATCATTCAAACATGGAGCTTCATGTCCAAATCCAGAGCAAGGAAGCTCTAACATTGCTTTGCTTGAATCTACTCCTTTCAAATATACTTTGTTTCCATTTTTGAGGCAAAGAGCCCAAGTAAGGTGGAGAAGATAGCCAAGACTTCTTCTGAGGTGGAGGGGGCAGGATGAAGAACACCCAAACTTCAGTCCACCCAGCCTTCTTCCTCCTGTTGCCTCCTTTTCCTACCCTCTTTCCCTCCCTTTCCTTCACTCCTCCTCAACCCATACACTGCAAATAAATGCTCAGAGGACCAAGGGTGTGGTATTGGCTGGTTGAAGGAGAAGCAGGACCAGAACACTATTTACATTAAAATTACTTTTAATTCTCCCCTCAAACCTTACTGTTTTAACCCCTGTATTTGTGCTGGGTCTCCTTTCTCACTTAGGCCTCACTCCTACCTCTACTTTCACCCCGACACAGGGTGGCCCTGGCAGCTGGCTTCAGAGGTCACCACCTCAGAGAAAGTTGATCTGACTGCGCAAAGCAGCTCTGAACTCAGCCTCCTTCCCTACTTCAGTGTGATGATGGGGTTGGGGGTGGGGGAAGCATCTCTGAGGGTGATGCAGGATCACAGCAGGTTTCCTCTGCATGGTCCCGTCCCCACAGGCTCAGGAACTGTGGTCAGATTTGGGGTTGTTCAACGAAAAGCCTTCCATTCCTTTGACTCTAGACATTTATCCCAATTTTCCACTGAGGGCTGAAATAAACACCAGCATTTCTTGGAAAGTCTGATAGTACATAATGAACTTCTATTAATGCTGCCAAAAGTGCAATAGGCAAAGGCACTACTGATGGGGGAGGTGGGTGCTACATGGACAAAATTTATTATTTCAATAGTTAGAACTTACTTTAATGAGTAAAACATATATATAAAGCAGCATATTAAAGCCATAATTTTACAGTTATTGCTTATGAGGGGTAAAATAGAAAGATCTATTAATATCAGTTTCAAGTAACATATTCAGTAAATAAGAGCATTGGTAATGAGCAGAAAATTGCAAAAATGACGGAGCTGGCAAGAAGTAGGTTGCCACTTGAGGAGCAGTGGCTCTGCTCTTGGGTCCCTTGAGCTCAAACTGCAGCGTAATCTGATTCTCTAAAACCACAGCATCCAAAATGTAAGCTATTGTCCCACTGGTTGCCCACCTAAAAATGCACGCCAACCCCTGCCTGCTCTGACACTGTCTGCCTGGGTGCTTGCTGCAGGCCACGTCTATGAGGCACAGGAAGGCTTGCCTATTTACCGTGCACCACCTGTATCTGCTCTGCTGTTGGCAAGGGAGTGTGGGGGACTCTCTCTCGAGTGATACATAATGAAAGGTGTCCCTGACCATCTTTCTTTGACTTTAAGGACAGGAGTAGGCCATGGGGTTAGCCGTGTACAATCAGTGCAAACCCCTGCTCGTAAGGATGTTCATTCTGAACCAGGTCCTGAACACCCCTTCAGGAGCCCAGAGCCAGGGACTCGGTATCAGGGAGAAGGGATAGCAGGATAAATGTGACTTTCTCCCTGATCCCCACATGTTAAAATTTATACTTTAATTATGCGATACGAGTTTTGAATGAGCTGGATAAAGTCACTGCCAAAAAGGAATCATCATTCTGGTTGCTGCTCCCCAACATCTAGCCAGTTTATGGCCAATAATTTCATCTATCAAGTTATCTAAGGTTTGCTCCTAGTTTACCTTGAAGTTTCATAATTCAAGGTCATATATTTTTGCCAGCTTTTCTAACATTTTTTACATTGTTCTTTGGGTTAATTGCTTCTATCTGTTTGAGGTATTTTTCTGAATAAAGGTGCCTTGGCCTATGCCCTGCAGCAGACAACTTAAGGGCCTTCACTTTTTCCTGGTCAATGCACTTAGGTAGACACTAAATTCTGTAACTTTCTACAGAATTTATTTCCTATTATCCCCTGTGCCTGTTATGCAGAAACATATCCACACTCGGATCCAGAGCTTCCATAAGAAAATAACAATCCAATCTGCAGATTATCTGGCTCTAAATACACTTTCTTTTTAAATTTAACAAATACAAAGTATTTAAAGCAGCTGGACTCTGGCTACTTATATGAAGTACAGTAGCCAGCTCACTTCCCTTTTGCTCAATTTTTAAGAAAGGTTTGGTTGAAAACAACATTATCTAAGGAGGATGGCCCAAAGGACAGATAGTCTGCGCATTCTTCTCTCAGTTCTCTGGAGACTCCCCCAGGCCAGCAGAGGGCTGGCCACACAAGTTGGCCTTTGGAAGAACTGCTGTGGCCACACCACCAGCAGCCCATGTGGAGGGGCTTCAGGAAAAACAACCCGATGGATAATAGCTTACTTCAGGCCTTTTAAGGACTTTGGGTCTCATGTCACACAATCTTCTCTAGGAAGATTCTCAGGAAACTTCACTCTCCCCTCGGCTACGGGCATAATTCCCCTTCACCTGAGCAGTGGTAAGTTTTCATCCTGCTGACGCCCTGACTCACAGCGCTGAGCACCCTGCCGTCAGAGCAGGCTGCAGGAGCCGCGGCCAGGTCTGAGGCCAGCCGGCCGCAAACGGACAGAGCTTCCCACATGTGCTTAGTGTACTAACATCACATGTGACTACAGCTTATCTTTTCTATTCACATTTTCCTCTTTACTCTCTCTCAGCCCCAGCTTCCTTATCTGTAAAAATAAGATAATAAGCCTATCATGAGAATTTGAAAAGATATATATAAACTGCTGTGTAGTTTCTGGTACACATATACTCAATATATTCTAGTAATAGCTCACATTTATTGAATGCTGATTATGCACCATGACTTGCTCTAAGCACTTTGAGAATATATTTAATCCTCATACAACTATAAGAGGTTGGTGCTAGTATGATCCCTATTTTATAGATGAGGAAACAGAGGCCCAGAGGAGGTAAAGAAATTTGACCAAGATCTCAAATCTATCACAGGTAAAATTTGGAATTGAATCCAGGCCTCCTGACTCTGAGCCAATGCTCTGAATATCTACTAATACAGTAGTTATTACTTTAAAGCTATTTTTAAAAAATAATTTGTCTTGTTTTTCCAATCATTTATTTGTTTATTTATTTTCAGAGGCTGGGTGCAGTCACATTTAGGGTCCAGAACTGCCCCATTTTTATAAATGAAAGCACCGCTTCCCAGGATAACATTCAGCAGTTTTACCATGGTGTTCGCCTTTGCAGCAGGACCACCGCTCATACGCAGATACCTTTGTGTGGTTTAGAAAAAGGGGTATCCATTTATTTTTAATATACTTTTGATCTTGTATTAGATATATTTATGTAAACTGTCTTAATTCCTATGTGGAATTGATGGTTACAGAAAAACAAATATAAATATAGAACTTCATCTTCCATTTAACACTTACAATTATGGGTATTAGTACATATATTACCTTTGTATCCTTGTTCTGTCTCCCTGAGATCAATTTTGGTTATCGGTTTGAAATCAGTGTCCCATAATCGTATACACCCATCACGTCCACCAGTGGCAAAGCCTTCTTCACAAGCGTACATGCTAAAGATTCCAGCCTGTCAATTAAGGCAGATAATACTCAATGCTACCATCATTCAAGATAGCGATGGAAAGCAAGTCTTGATGATTAAAAATCAAAACAAATCACTTGTTCTATTGAAATCCTGACAGTAAAACAGGCAGCCATTTAGAGTATCTTTTATTTTAGCTAGGTTAAAAATTAATCATAATCACCACCAGAGCAAACTAGCTGAAGAGGTTCTTTGTCATTACCAAACTCATGGCAGGTTGTTAAAATATTATTCAGAATTCCTTGGTTAAAGCAGACAAGTGACCATTATGAACAGATGTGACAACTGATCATTATAAAGAAAAGTAGGACAGCAATGGAGGGGTTTCATATAAATTGCTGCCCAAATAATCAAGATATTCAGGATAGGAACACAAACACTGCTACATCTCTGTGAACTCAAAAAGGCCCCACCTGAGCCTAACTGAAAGCATAAATTACAGTGGTGGTAGCTTAGGCATCATTGAAGATGCTTTTTCATCTGAAAGAGTTTCATAATTTAAAGATGTTTTTCTACAGGGAAATATTTTATTTGGTCTGTTTAAAAGTGCTGCAAGTGAATAGTGTTGACCTACGATCCAGAGTAAAGAGAAATTAGGTTACTAAGGCAGCTGCTTTTATGAATGAGGACAAATACTCACTTCTTGTTTTAAAAGCTGTTTCATAATTATCAAAACCAAGAAAATTGGTCTTGAACATACAAGACAATGAAAGATCTAAAATTTCATAGCTTTTTTTGCTAAGAATTCCTTAAACTTTTCTTCTTATTTTAAGTAATAGGGGATCAATTTGGCGGCAATAAGCAAAAGGGCTATCAAGTCTCCAATAATGTTTTACCTACATTTCTATTTATTACAATAAATTTCTATTTATTACAATAAATTTCTATTTATGACATTTCACATCACCTCCTCTTTGTCATCTGTAAGTATACTGATGGAACCATTTTAATATGTGTCAAAATTGAACAGAGTGTTCAGAAGTAAAGTTTCCCTTATTCTTACAGAGCAGACCATCAAAAGAGAGTCTGTCCATGGTTTCTGTTTGCATTTTCAACAGCTTGTGCTGTGGACCTAGAGGTGAGGAAGATCGACCTTACTAATGAATGTAAAAATAGTTATCTCCACCCTTGCCCTTCAATGGGTGGGCCACAGTCCAGCAGCAGTGAGATCACCCCAGATGCACTCAGTCAGAATCTGCGAGTCAACACGATCCCCAGGAGATCTGTAGGCACATTCAAGTTTGCGAAGTGCTGGTCAGTGAGATGAAACTGACAATGCAATAGTCCCAGACTTCTATTGAGCTACTATTGATGAATAGCAACACTAATCAGCCAATCAGTAATAGAGGTGAAGACTAATTAAATTATAATGTTTTTGAAATACTTCTTCTAGGTGAACAAAAAAATTGGGGAAATCTTTCAGGAATGTTTAGAGAGTGTCCAGCAGAGCTGGATTATCCTTAAGCGATGGGAAAAATATAGAAAGATTTGTGACATTAACTTATTAAATAAATCATACAAAATTTCCACATGGGAATACTTACACTATGTGCTCCTTGAATGGTGCGGACTAAATTGAGCCCTTTCCAGACATAGATGTCCCCATTTAAAGCACCGGAGTAGGTGATGTCTTCTTTGGCACATGCAAGGCAAAGGATGGTCTGAAGATCCCCTGTTTTGCCAAATATCCCTCTTTTTGCAGTCAGGGCATTTCCACATAGTGTCCAAAACTAGAAAGTAAGTGATAAAATAAACAGATCCAAAAACAGAGTATTTTGATGCATCTCATTATTAATGTTTATTTGCTTCTGTTTCAGTATGTTACATAATTTGCTATAGCTGAACTAGGCACACATAATTTAACTTGTTTTGCTATGACAGCAGAGAACCGCAAAACATTCTAGCCAAGATTTAAAAAATTTACATTTCAAAATGGCCAAAGTTCCAAAATTTCAAAACTTCACTAATTGTTCAATGGTAATTAAATATAAAATGTCAGTGTTCCCAGGGTTGGAATCAAGTGGATGAATAATCACGTTTTTGTTTGATGAATTTCTTGTCAAATTATAGAACTAGTATAGGTTCACTGTAGAGAAGTTTAGAAATACAGAAAAGATGAATAGGAAAATTAAAATTATCTATGACCTCCTGTTAACATTTTAGGCATTTTTTTGGTGTATATAAATAAATTCAGAAATAATTTCTTTCTAACTAAAATAGTATAAATCTTCACTGTAAAAATATTACTTAAAAATATGTCTTTAAATATAAGCTATAGTTCTGTATAGCCAAATAATTGACCAGGCTTTTCAGCTTCAGTGGTATAATTTATCAGATGGAAAACCATACGCAAACAGCTCCAGCTACTTGTTGAAGGGCAGCAGGGAGACTCCCATGGTTATAATATAAAAATTAAATATTTTGCTTTGGCATAGCTTTTTATTAAATACATGAAATAGTGTAACTTTAGTGCCAATGTATATAGTCCCTCACAGTTTATAATGGTTCTTTACATAGGTCTAGTTATTTAATCTTCTTAATACCCTTGAGAAGAGGCTACAGCAGATACTATTATCCCAATTGGGAAGTGAGAAAAGAGAGCATACACGGCTCACTGGCGGTAAGGAAGGGTTCAAGGGGGTTATACGTGACAAAATAGGCGTCTTGATCTTTGCCTTGGGGACTTTAAATCTAATGAAGATACACATAAAACAACAAGAGACCATTTTAAGTCATCCTATTCAGACTACCTACAAGTGGCAAGAGAATTCAAAGAGAGAAAACATGTTGAATTAATTAATATGAGCAAGAGCAGGATTTGGATCAGTGGTAAGGAAGAAATTGCACTGGGGTTCAGGAGAGCAGGATTAGGCAAAATAAGGTGACAGGAAATTTGAGGAAAATCAGTGACAACACTAATATTCTGTGCCTGCAAGAGAGAGAAAATGGTGGTCCTCTCATAGTCGTGACGGGGGCGGGGGGCGGGAGCGGTCCTGGATGGACACCCCAGGGCCAGTTCTGGGACAGTTGGGCCACCGGGAGGGCCGGGGCTCGGGCAGCTGTGGAGAAGGTGGCCCTAGGGAGGAGGAGGGACAGATGTGCACCCATTTGAGACAATGCAGGATTTTCTCTCATTTAAGAGGAAAGTGTCAACTCTGGTGAGTCATTTCTTTGGGTATTGTTTTTATGAAAAGGCATGAAAGTACACTTAGAAAGAATAAAAGGATCTGAGAAAAGACAGGTAAAAGCTTTGGTAAGACATTTAATATTTAAGCGTTTACTTTGAACCTGAACAAACTGTTAGACCTAACTACATAGATGCCAAAGAACTCGCTGTTCGTGCCGACCCTTAGGGCAGTCACTTTCTTTTTCACTACTGTCTCCCCAAGCGTGAAGGTAAAAAAAAGAGTAATTATTTCATAATTATTCTCCTTCTAACTTGGGGTGTGCACCTCTGACCTCAGTTACTGAATTATTTCTAGATAGACAACTGCAGAAAATAGAGAGAAAGCATTATCATCAGACACAAAGGTTTTCTGATAAAATCACCCAGTCGGACGTACTAATGTCAACATGAAATATTCCAAATAATCAAATGATTCTCTAAAAAAGGCAGATACAAATGTAATGCCAGGATAGGTATGAGGTTTCCTCCAGAGAATAGCAAATCTTTGACATATTAGCACTTCTTAAGAAGCACTTTTTGTTTGGAAAACAGTGACAGTTTAGGGTAGCAACACATCATTAAATCCACATCAAATGGGGAATAACTGTCCATCTTCTTCAATCCTCATTCACAATTGTAACGCAAATTTTGTTGGAACTGGCAGGTTACTTCGGAGATCAGCGGGCCCCAGGTAATCTCCAAGGTCCCTTGGGCTTCTGACTAGAGACTGGAGAAGGATCAATATCCAAAACCTAGTAAGCTCATTTGCTGTAAACCCAACCAAGCAGACAATGCTCAACTGCTACTGTTTTTCAAGTGTTCATTTCAGATCACTGTGATTTAGTTGCTTGTTTGTAAAACCAGAAAGAATGTCACCCTCACTATAAAAATTTCACATAGAAATATCTGCTTGGAGTATACCAAAGACTCTGCGTTCACCGTGTGACTGGAATCATTAACAGGCTGTTAGGCAGCTTTGCGGGGAAAGGGTGGGGATCCTAGAATTGGGTGAAGAAAATATAGATAGTGAAGCCTTTTGAAATTTGACGTGGAGTTCTTTCTAAACAAATTAATAAAGAATGGAGACCTGGGGGGAGGGGACTATAAGGGGATTAAATGGTAATGGAAAAAAAATACAATAAAGATTAAATTAAAAAAAAAAAAAAGAATGGCTGAGTGGTCATTTGCAAATTCTTCCATTTGAGGTAAATATGCTTGTTTTGCCTAGGGAAAAAAATGCCTAAGTCTGCTAAAACACAATTAACAAATTTACCGGGATAAGTAGATAGTGTTTTCAAATGAAGTTCTAGGGTTTTATCTTTCTCTGCTCTTAGATTTAACTGATTAAAAGTCAGAGTTAACCAAAGATGGAAAGAAATAGGAAGAAGCTAGAGAATTCTATTAACTAAGAAGCTAATCCATTATTTTTAAAAATCTGGTTTTGGGGGTAAGGCAGTTAAATCAAGTTAGATCATTAAAGAAGTAATTTCTACATGGAAAGAGCTCTACACAGGGAGCCACAGACGGAGTTTAAATCTTAGCTGTGCCACCATTCTTGTGATCCTGGAAAATGGGAAAAGAAGTTAACATTATTGTGCCCCTACTGATTCCATATACTGGTCAATGTAACTCTTAATAACTTCAGGATGTAGTTCTTTCCTAGGGGAAGAAACTCAGCCTCAGGGAGATTAAATAGCTGTTCCAGAGTCAGGCAGAAGGAGATAAAACCAATATTCAATACAACCTCCTAGGTCTTGGCTTTCTCACTGTACACACACAGGGCGGATGACGGCTCCGACGTCAGGGTCCCAGATTCCCAGACTCCCAGGCAGCAGCTGCAGCCTCCTGGAGGTTGGGCTCGGTGGGAATGCACGCATTTCTTTACTTGTGGCTCAGAGAACAACTCAGTGCTTTTGCCATGTTTTAGACAGGTCAGAAACTCGTGTTGGCAGATACATATCTCTGATTAATAAAAGTTATTAAGATGATTAATATTTAATGGCTACAGTGTATTTTGTGGCCAAAATCGTTCCAAATATTGGTTCCCACAGAAAGTTTTATGAAGAGGTTCTTTGGTGATGATAACATTGATGACCTTTGAACATGTTATGGGCCAAGGACCTTTCTGTTCCCCAGTCCCGTGATTCATTCCATGAGTGGCCAATGCCTCCTATCAACTCCTGACTGAAGCGCCACCCCTCCCCTGGGTTCTGCTGCTTTCCAAGCTCTCCCACCAAACTCACCTGCCCATCAAGGCTCAGCTCAAAGAGCACCCCCTTCCTGAAACACCTACCCTTCCTCTGACCACTTGGGATTATCCCTGTAGAATTTCAGTTTGCCTCGCTTACAGGATGTTCTGTTTTAATGTTTTTAATTGCTCAGCTTCAAGCAAACTGAAAATAGGGTCAGGTTTTATTTCTTCACAGTATAAACTGAACTGTTTACCAAATTTAATGAGTTTTCAAGACTTCCATGCGGGCTGTGTAAAACATAAGGAAGGATCCTCCAACAAGTGCCTCTGTTTGAGCAAACGTATTCTCAGGTTAAAATTAGGTCTTTGCACAAGGATTACAAAATGTTTAAGAAGCCCTAAGGTGTAGGTAGGACACCAGACGTTAGCTTTCTAGAGAGGCAAGTACAAAGGCTCTAAATTTAAGAAAAACAATATAAAGTCGAGTGGTTTCTCAACAACAAATTATATATATAAACACCTAAAATTCTTTTCATTCAAGGAAAAATTTGAAAAAAATAACTACTTTACCTTTATATGTTTTACTCCACAGCTAACCACTCTGTTTGGCTGATATGGATCCCAGGAAATATCAAAAATCTGTTTAAAAAATATTAAAAGTTGCTATGTTGGTCATTTATGCATTTTAGCCTTCTTTCAGATATCAGTCCGATTGCCAACATTCCACCCTAACACTTAGAACACAATGTTATGATACCTGCATAGATGGAAAAGTAGAGGATTAGGCCCTGGGGATGAGTCAGGAATTGCTAAGACATGTTTTATCATTGCTTGTCTACTTACCTGAGGCTTGACTAGAAAGGTAATAATTAACCACACTCATTGAGAACAAACTGGTGTCATATTTTTAACTTTGTCCATGCAGGATAAACAAATTGTGATGACGTAGGATAATTTTTTGCTCAAATTTTCTATAGCTCTACACAATGCTAATAAAATATTCCTGAGATAGTTTTTTTAAAACAACAGTAAAAAGAATTATAAAATGCTTCATTTTGAGTAAGAAAATGTGGCCAACAGTTTCTAGTAATCACAGAAGTTAATATTCTAGAACACAAGGCAGAGTTATTTGCCTGGCACTAAGCCCACCGAGGCCATCATTTTAATCTGATCCGTAACACTATTGTATTTTCAGTTTTCCAAGGCACTGCAAACATATCTGCTAATATTACTTATCACTCTTTAAGAAAAGCTACCAGGCAGGCTGCAGGTAGTTCTATTTCTATCTGGGGGATAGGGAAGAGAAGACTGTCATCCTTCAGGGTCAAATCACCCGTGGCAGCTGTTTGAAGTGCACGTTCCCCCAACAGAGAGGATCTGATTTAGTGGCTCTGAAACTGGGTCCGAACACCTGCATTTTAAAACAGACCCTGGGAGATTCTGACACAGGCAGTCCGTGGACCACATTCTCTGAAGCTCTAATAGAAAAACGAATCAGTTGCCAGGGCCAGAGTCTAGACCACAGTGCGCTCAAGCTGCTAACTTTTCATCACATAGGAAGGAGCAATACGGAGCAATCATCCGAGAAAGAAGGAAGTCCTATAACCTTCGGTTAGGTAGAAAGGTATAATTATGGACCACTAGAGAAAGAGTACTTGGTCCAAGTACCAATGGGGTCCAAACACTCATTTAGGCTATGCAAGCTCAGGCAATGCTTAGCATCTCTAACTTTAACCTCATCTTCTCTAAGATGAATGATACCACCTCAGGTTTTTTTTATGAGATCACTTAAGATAAGGTATATATGATCATTTTGCAGGCTGTAAAGCACTCATTATACAAATGAATACTGGGGATTAAATATTTTAGCCACTAAATAATTTTGAAGATAGTCATTTGCACATACGCAGCCGGTAATCATTTATATTAGCATCAGTAATCAAGAACGAAACTAGGCATGATACAAATTATGGGGTCTGGGAGAACATGTTCTAAATGTTCTAAGTACATAGAATAATGTTCTAAAAGAACAGTATTGCATTCAAATATTTAGGCTATTTAGGCTGTTAAAATCACAGCATTCTCGCTAGAGTAGCACTGCACTTCTTACATGCTACTCCTAACTGGAAAGTGTACAATACAATAACGAAGCAACAGGAAATTCATGCATTGATCCAACCAAATTCAGTTTACTTTATAAGATATGATGGGATCACACAATAAACAGTACCATCCAAAATGTAAGAATCACAAATATATTCAACCTCTTCAGTAAGTACTAAGTTGTTATCAATTAAATACCAATAAATTACTACCAATACCTGGAGGTAGAGCCCAAGAATCACTATACTGTAAAATCTCCTTAGAGTATTTTTATGTGTAGTCAGGGTTGGGAGCCACTGGGCCAGGCTGCTTCCGACACTAAAGTTCCATTGCTGGTTACTCTTGGACTTTCTAAGAACTTCATCCTCATGTGCAACTTGCCCAAATGTATAGGAACAACTTAATACCACAATTCTCCACAGATAGCTGTACTATTCATATAAAAAAGGTTTTTTTTTTAAGTTCACACAAAATTTAATATTTAATTAAGGCCTCATTCTGCATGGGCACAGATTGGACAGAAATACAAAACAACTAGGAATCAATGTAAGACAATAACGTAAATTCAGTATTTTTTTAATTAGAAAACCAAGATAGTAAAGTAGCCAAATTATTTTAATTATGCAAGATGCAAGCGAAATCAATTTCTTACCAGTTAGTGCATATGTCTGCTTCATATCCTATTTTGCCAGCCATGACTACTTGGAATTATCATTTCTGATCACACTGACTTCAATATGAATGATAAGCAGGCCACAATTTACATTCAAGGTTCTCAAATATGGCAAAGAGTCACAAAGTTGTCGTTACATTCATTTGAAATTCAAAGGTATACACTTGTAAACATTTTGTGAATATAAATTTCTAACGACTACTTCCATTTCTAAATAAATGCATACATCTAAACTTTGCATATAATTTCAAATTCAATTCTATTTTGATTTTATGAGGAAGCCATGAAAAGCAGTAACAACTTAAATAAAGCATTCAATCTCTAAAAGAGATGCCAACATAGCAATTAATCCTAAATTAATTTTTAAAAACAGTACATTTTTAAGCTGAATATGTAGGGAAAATATACATGTGGAAAACTTTCTTTAAAAAGTATTGAGAACTTGAGAAGCTCTATCGCAATCCCCCAGTTATACAATCTGTATGGCTTGATCCAACAAGGTTTTCTTACCCGGTCGGAGTGGCCGGTGGCTGAGGCCAGAAGTTTTCCCTTCCTCCAGTCCCAAATGCAGACTGTGTTTTTGGCATCTAATCCCACAGAGGCTAAACGCTAAGAATAAGAACAACAACTTAATACCCAAAAATGATGGCAAGATTTCCCATTATCTATGCCTCCTTTCAACAAATGGTTACTGATTACCTACTATGGGCCAAGCTTTGGGCTTCTTATGAAAAAAATACTTTCTCAAGATCCATCTTAAATCCAAAAAAGCTATCACAGATGACTTCCATGAATATATACTGAAATTTCAAAAAACCTATCAGTTACAATTCATTTATCCTTCTTAAACATAGAAACATATGCGCAACAATCTCATGAATCTCTGATTAGTCAGTGGAAACCATAGAAACAGAACTTGAAGGCAGGGTTTAAATTTATTTTTTAAATTAAGAACTTAATGTGAGATTTAAGAGAGTCTAGGTTTTTATAATCTGAGTGCCTCAACAAACTGCTAGAATTAAAGGGTTTGACAGACATAAGGGAGAAATCCCATAAATGAACATAATTTTCATTCCTCTTAAATTCCATAATTTCACAAACATCCCAAGTGACTCAAGAAGGATATATAATTTTAGTAAAAGTAAGCTGGCATTTCATTTCCCAGTCCAAATTCTTCAGGTTCACATAAGAATTTGTCCTCAAGGGGAAAGGAAAATTAAATATGAGAATACACAACATCAAAAGAGTCCAAACACATTTTAGAAACACCAAAACCAGCAGTCCCAGCAGGACACCACCTCTAAGGAAACAGTGCTGTGTAACAGGTAGAGGTCTGAACAGGGAGTAAGAGATTTGGCTTCTTTTTTGACCTTGTGTGTCACATGAGACCCTGAAAAATTAATTTACACTCCTTAAATCTGTTTTCTCATCTGTAAAATGAATGTAAAATATTTGTTCTGTTTACACAAGATTTTTGTGTAGATCAGTTAAATAATGTAAGTCAAAGAGTTTTAAAAACAGTATGACTCAAGGATAAGAATCTTGGAACTTATGTATTTCATCAAGTCTTAATGTCTGAATGTGAGTAGGTATAGAAAGACAGGCAGCCATATGTGGCTAAATGCACATGTTATTATGCAGAGATTATTCAGGTTTTTTCGCTATAGATAGCCCCTATTAGGAATATTTAGTATTAAAAATTTATAATTGGAGGTTTTAAAATGTGAGCTTAAGAAAGGGGGTCTTTGCTGTAATTTTTAATTGAGTGTTCCAGCAATGGAAATGATTTTAAGACATTGTCATATTTTTTACCGACATAAGAAACCTCAAAGTGGGTGAATTCCATTCAGCCTATTCCTTTTCTTTTTTTTTAAATAGAAAAAGCAGTTAACATAAACAGAGGCACTAAAGTAAAACCCACCATTTCTTGATTGAGACAAAGCCAGAAGGAATCTGTTTTGTTCATTTGTAGTGACAGACCCCATAGCTACCTGCGGAGCATTTCTATTCCCTTTGTTGCTTGAGTGGGGATGGGCCATTTGTCATTGTCTAAAGATCACTTGATTCCAGCGAACTCTGCCTAGGGAATAAGGCAGACCCGAAGCAGTCGGCATCAGCAAGCCAGGAAATCCGTCATGGTAAGCACATAGGAGGTGATTTTTCTCAACTGACAGTGAAGTACCATGAGTCCACCCCAACCCACACCCTGAAAAATGAAACCTAAAAGTGAAAGCTGATTGTCCTCAGTCACTTCACATTTTTCTTGTCATGCTTTAGAACAGTGATTTTCAACTAGTGTGCTGCAAGAATTTTTAAAACATGCAATACCTACCTATTTAGTCAGAGGCACCAACCACTTTTCCCTTAGATTGTCAAATAAAATGACAACAGCCAACCAATGTGAATGAACCAAAATTATACCTTTTTTTTGTCAGATTGGCAAAAAATATGGTGTGCTGCAGAATTTTAGCATTTAGTTTATGTGTGCCATAAGATGAAAAATGTTGAAAATTGCTATTTTATAACTAATTCTGATAAAGAATGTTTGCTAGAAAAACAAAACCAAAATCAGATTAGAGAATGTGCACGTAAGTACACATCCAAGTGTACATTTACACTTGTATGTGCAAATGCATCCTGACACATCCATTCAATTTGGTCAGGAAGTCAATAACTCCAAGTTTAAACAAATGTCACTAACCAGGTTTTTGTCTTTAGACATGGATATACAATGGAATGTAGTCAATATCCTGCCTAAATTAGATGAGATTACAATGTAGGAAAATCAAAAACATATATACCAGAGATGTACATGGTAGTGAATCTGGTTCTAGAAAGAAAAATGAGTAATTATCACTACTCTCTCAAAACAGAAGAATACAAGTATGCAAATGTTAATTGTTTAAAAACGGACTCCAACCAGGTCAAGTCCTATAATCCACTGATCTTCACACAAACTCCAAGTTTGGTCAAGCCTCTATGAATAATTTGATAGGTCTTTCCACAGCATAGACTTACAGAATTAAAAATAAACTTTGATAAAAACTGGATTGAAGAAATTAACTGGCAGAAATACAGAGAGCTTAAAAAACAACAACAACAACAACAACAACACGCGGCCTAGGAACATGGAGGTGGCCGGGGGAAAAAGGCAAGGCCTTAGTGAGGAGGTAAATGCAGTGGGAGCCAGAGATGACCCCTTAATCTTTCCACTCCCTTTTGTGTAACATAGTTTTGAAGTTGAGATAGAATTGACATCTATGACATATAAACAAATCTTTTCTGCCAAGTGTTGCTGGAAGTCAAAGAAAAGACAGAAGGTTTACTGGGGACCCTGGGAAGGCTTCATGAAGACCTTTGGAGTTCGTGGAAGAATGAGTTACGTTAAGGGGCAAAGAGGCTGAGCAGGGCACGTGAGGTGGAGAGGACAGCCTGAGAAAGGGCCCTAGGGTGCGAAAGAGCAAGGCCTGGCAAAGGACTCCCGCTGACTTGTCCAGTGTGACCACAAGCAGACAGTGAAGATGAGGCTAGAAAGGTTAGCCTAGAATGCCCGGCTAAAAAATGTGGACTTGATTCAATGGGTACTCTAAGATTTCTTGTTTTTAAACAATTCTGACACTTTTTTTTTCAGTTGGTGAAATGCATTATCAAGAACTTTAGTGCGTAGAGATCAGTTAAGAGGTTAAACTGTCAGGTAAGACACAGAGTTGGAACTTAAAGGATGGTGGCAGAGAGGACTGGAAGAAGAGGATAAATGTCAGAGTTACTGTAAATAAATAAATACAGATGAAGCAGTGACTGCCTGAATTCTGCGACAGTGGGTAGGGAGAAGTTGCTGGAAGTGACCCCAAGGGAAAGAGTCAGACAGAACCTTCTCAGTGGATTATTAGATGATGTTATCTTCTGAAAGCAAGGGCAACCAAGGTGATGCCGAGGGCTTGCAGTTGGCAGAACAGGTTTGGTCCAACCCTTATTCCAAACAGGAAGCTAACAATGGAAGACAAAGTGGAACTGCTGAGTCATTACAGACTTGATCAGCATGAGTTCATGACTTCCTTCCTGGAGGCTTTTTAACCTGATGGAGACTGGGGAACCACAATGGGCTTATTCAGAGCTGGGTGTCGGTGCCACAAGCTTGGAAAAGGACCAAACAGGTGAAGACTCTAAGAAGCTGCCAAAGGGAGCTGGAGGGGTTGATAGAGCTTCTAAGCCTATAGGCTATGTGCATCATAATTCTAAGTGAGTTACGAGAAATCATTAAAGAAAATGAAAATAGAAAAAGATACACACCTGTCCATCTGAGTCGAAAGCCAGGCAGGCGACTCCATGTGTATGGACATCTTTAAGAATAGACACAGTCTGGACATTATAGGAATCCCATATACATACATATGGCTCCTTCCCAACTTGGCCAGTTGCAACAAGAGTTCTATCTGGGTGTAAGGCAAGGCTGAAAAAGAAAAAGGCCTCTTTTCACATCCTTCTACCCAACACAGTTAAGAAAACTATTGATCATCTTTTATCCACATTTGTTTCTCATTTTAATGATCTAACAAGAAAAAGGGTCTGAACTTCCCCCCAAAAAATAATTACCTAATTGGTCTAACTATAAATGTACAATTTTGACAGAGGCTTAGTACAATTTAACAATAGTTTCATCTTATTTTACCTACTTCATTACCTAGAAAATGAGACATTATAATTCCAGGACTAGCGAATCTTCTATACAGTTCTATCTATAACTGCTTTATGTCATGATATTTACCAACTGATTTTGAAAATATCATTCAGCTTTCAAGATAGCTTTTGACTTTAATTTAGGGGGAAATGCCGTTGCTAGGAGAAAGCGTGCTTCTCAGGATTAATTAAACCTGCTTGTAGAAGCTACATACCATGCTCATTAGGGTTTCAAAGCGTGGAGGGGTCCAGAGTCAAGTGCTGTTTCTGCTGCTATAGATTATGTATTTTAAATGAAATTGTCTATTTTACATCAATTACTATGACACAAAGAGAACTGCTAATTACTATGCTTGTATTTTGTGTAGCTCTTTCTCTCTGTAGTCCAATCAAAATAAAACTTTGTCAAAAACCAACTAGAATTTCTAGGAGTCGGTAGCAGTCAAGGGGGAGAAATGTTATCATTACTATTCCCAGCTGAGAAATCACTCTAATGTTTTTAAAATCACTGTGTAAAGAAGTTGTGCCTTTCTAAAAATAGGTATTGGGAATTTAAAACAAAAGAAGAGCACATTACCTATATATTTTTTAAAAAACTAGCAGATGATTGTTTACACAGTTACAAAAGTCAGGTTTTTTTCTCCCTTTTCAATTTTGACATGATTTTAATAAGAGTATACGCTCCGGAATGAGACACCTGGATTTGCACATTGGCTGCCCTTTACTACCTCTGGTCATTTCAACATATTGCTTGATTTCTTTTCCCTCAGGTTCCTCATATATAAAATGCAGATACTATATAAGCATTTAGCACAAAGTGTACACTTGATACAAATCTCTTTATCACCATCACTCGTGTAACTGGCATCAGATAGATAACCAACATAATCATGTCTCTGTGGATACGTGTACCTTTCAAAAACAAACTACTTTCTGGTTCTCTCCTGGCTCTACATGTGGTCCCCACAATTCTGCAGCCACCAAGCACCCTGGGGTGCCACGGCAGTCCTCATCCCACTGTGCTCCCTTCCTGGGCCTCCCACCAAACCTAGTGCCATCTTTTGCAGCGGATCCCCGTGTACCACCCTGCCCCTCACCGACCAGCCCTCCCAGGCCCGTGTACCCTGGAGCTGAGGGCAGTTTGTCTTTCCAGGGGCTCCCCACACCCCCACTCCACACGTCTGCAGTCCAGGCACTGCCTCAAAGAGGGAGGTCTGCTCCACTTGCACGTTGAGGTTGGGTGCTGCATCGGGTTCGTGCTTTGGAGGCAAAGAGGGTACAGTGAGAGCCCACAGGGTGCGCTTTGTGGCTCCAGCTGTGTTGGGCAGTGAGTGCAGGTCCAAATGGAGGTGCAGGGAAAGGATGGTCTGAGTGTCAGGGGAGGCTCAAGGAACGGTGGGATCGGGCCCCAGGTGCTGTGGCCATGACCTCTCTCTCCAGAGGAACCCGGAACCCACGGGATCTCGGGAGGTCCACAGCGGCCAGCAGAGGGGTCCCGGGATGAGAAACACCTGGGTGCTCCAGGCACCAGAGGCTCCTCATCCTTGATTCGTCAGGAAGGTGCCTGGCTCACGCCACCTGTCAAGTCAACCCCAATCCCCTGTGATGCATCACCCTCTCCCACAACCCCAAATCAGAGTCACAGTGCAGGGTACTTTGCCCCACCTGCTGCCAGGGTTTGGGGACCAGGCTCTGGCTTAAAGGCTGTGCAGCGGCAGACTGCCCAAGGCCAGAACTGGGGAGTTACTGTGTGAGGGCTGCAAGTCTATCACCTTCCAGAAGGATGAAGGCTTTGGGGCATCGACATGGGCTTCTGGCTCGGCTGCTGGTGCCCCAGTCCAACATTTCTGAGGTCCAAGGCCGCAGCAACCCAAGCACACTATTCCACTGCACCTCCTCAGAGCCAGTTGTTTCTCCAGGCGGCGGCAGTGAGGTATCTAGAATTTGTTCCTGGAGTCTATCACGGCCTGTTTCTGGAGACTTTCCCTTGAAGAACAGCCTTAGGACATTGCTCTCTCCTTCTCACAGTGAGCCTCTTCACTCAAGCCCTTCCATCAGGAAATGTTCTCCTCTAGCGAACATCCCAGGAGGGATGCCCACGGGTTTGGGTGGGGCCTGAGGGGAGGGCGTGGGGGTTCCCAGGAAGGTACAGGTGCAGGTACAATTTGTGGCTTCAGCTGTGTAGCAGGGCGTGCGGGACGGTCCAGATGGAGGGGCAGGAGAGGGGAGGCTGGGGTGCACTGAGCATCAGGGGAGGCTCCGAGAATAACTAGGGCCCCAGGTGGTGCTGCTGAGACCACTGTCCCAGAGGGCGCCCCATCTCCCAGAATCTAGGGAGTTCTCAGGGCTGGCAGAGGAATCCTGGGATGAGAAACACCTGGGAGCCCGTATGTGCGGCACCTAACAAGTGCTTGCTGGAAAACGTACCCTCAGGAATCTTTGTAAGGAGTAACATGGAAAGATAACATGCATAAAGGCAGAGCTTTTTCCAAAAGGCGAATGTTAGAGGTTTAAACCTTTCTACGGTTGTCAAACACTTCAGCATTCAGACTTGATGAGAAGTGACCAATAAAGTATAAAATAACCCTCCTAATCTTAATTTTCCTGGGGTATCTTTGGTATTTGATGGTATCTAGCTAGATGTCCTAGAAAATTACCAGCTGATTACAGATTGCCGTATTTGTTTCATTAAAGTAAGTGTATGGAAGAAGTATGTAAAAACCTAATGACAAACTGGTATATGTATTTTAGCTCATTCATTCATTCATTCAACAAACCTTAGTTTAAGTGCCTAAGAAATGTCAGGGGTAGCATTATAAATACATAAATAGAAAATGCATTGCCCAAGAAGCTCAGCTTATGAGGAAGGACAAATATGTGAATAAATAATAAAATGTTGATACATATATACAATGACATAAAAAGAGGAAGGACAGAGGATGGAGTGACCAGCTGCCCAGGACTTGAGCGAAAATATGAGTTTACATGAAAGACAACGTGCAAAGGGCATCTGTGTGGAAAGGCAACGTCCACAGTTAAAGTCCCGCAGAGAAGAGCAGGAAATGAGATGGGCCAGACAAGATGGGGTGGTCATGAAAGCCCTCAGAAGCAGGCCAGGGCGTTAGGGCACCACTGACAATTATTAGCAGGACACAACTCCAAGGGTTTCACATTTTAGGAAGGTGATCCTGGCATCAGGGAGGCACAGTGGGAAGCACAGGGCGGGGAGGGGTGTTAGGAGAGGAGGCAGGGAGGCCAGTTAGGGGCTAGGTGAGAGACATCGAGGCAGGACGGGGTAGAGGGGATAGAATGATGAGTCCTGGCAGGGGTCCCTAACCTGTTTGGCACCAGGGACTGGTTTTGCGGAAGACAATTTTTCCACAGACTGGGTGGGGGATTGTTTGAGGATGATTCAAGCGCATTACATTCAAGCTCACCTGCTGTGCGGCCCAGTTCCTAAGAGGCCCAGACCAGTACCGGTCCAAGGCCCAGAGGCTGGGAACCCCTGCGTCAGGCATATCTGAGACAGAGGAAAAAAGCCTGAGGATGTTTGAGGCTAAGGAAAAGCTTGAGTATGTCCAAGTTGCCAGAATTTTTTTGCTTGGGTAACTGGGTTGATAACTCCCTGAGCTTGGCAGCTGAGTTTGAAGCCTATGAGCTTGGTCCTGGGGGACATGGCCTTAACTCCATCCCATGGTTAGTGGGGTCGCAAAGGAGACTCCTCAGGTCTGGAGTCCTAAGGGGTGCGGAGAAGAGGATTTGACTAGACGGTATGCTCCAGGAGGACAGGGCAGTTTCTATCGTTCAGTACACAGTTCCTGAAACATCATATGGCAGAGGGAGCATTAAGCGAGCACTTGCTGGCTCCGGCCAGGTGTCTCTCAGGTGGTTGGAGACTTGACCTGCACACCGAAAGGGTGTGGTCACGTACAGGAGGCCACCGGTGGATATTTCTCTCTCACATCGATGTTTCTCTCTCTCTATCTCAAATCAGTAAACATATCCTCAGATGAGGATTAAGAAGAATAATTAAAAAAAAACAAACAGTGCTTGCTGAAGAAGGAGCGAATAATGCCATCCTGGCCGCCAGCTTGCCTCTCCCTCTCCCCTCCCTGCCGGCAGCAGGTTCTGCCTCGGGGCTGGGAAATAAAGCACAGTGGGCACACTGCCCCTAAATGGTTAGAGGCACTTTCAAGTGACATAAATGAAACTGGCTGTGATCAAAGCTTCTAGTTAAACATGCTTGAGATACTTGGTAGATCCTTGAGGTTCAGAAGCACCCAGAATTTTTTTTTAAAAAAAGTCCTAGGTCATCATTCTTACTATGATTTCATGATTCCTGACTTTTCTCAGTTCCTTGAATGAAGGGGGAAGTGAAATAGACGGTTTTCAACAAATCTTTAAAGAGGCCTTCAAAATACGTTATCAGTCTAAGTTATTTAATTAGCAGTGTGACCTAAAAATATCCCATTGTGGATTTGAAGTCTTTTTACTTTGGTTATTGTCATTCTCTTCATTCATAGTAAAGTTCATAAGTTTATCACATTTATGAAAAAGTTCATGTTAGAATTTTTTTCTTTTTTTGTTGCTCGCTGTTTGGGGTTTGGGTTTTTGTTTTTCTTTTTCTGCCAGGAGCTCCTTTACACTGTTCTGTAAGTCATCTCTTCCAAGCACATGGCACATTGCCCTGTGTTCCTCCTTTGTCATTCGAATATGTTAACAAAATTACCTATTTCTCTTCTTCTAAGCCAAGAAGTCTTTGACCTCATTTCT